TATAGGCAATGGAAAAAATTGTGAGCTTCCTGGCACTCCCAAAATAGCAGTGGAGATTCCCCTTCTGGATAAATGCACCCTGGTGCAACAAAGCCTTGTACCCACTTGGAAGAGCACAAGCACACTCATCAGTGTTTACACACATCCAGGTGTGCAACTGTGCCTGTCCTGTCAATGGACCAGGTGATAATGCTAACTTCCCCGACTCCCAGGTGAACACTGAAGCCTCCCTCGTGGAATGTGGTTGGGGGTGAAGTGTGAAGCTGTTAGGAACAGATGCATCTGGCATCTGGAGCATGGAGCCATGTACACGTGGGTGTTTGGGTGTCGGCAGCCACAGCTGCTGCGTCCAGACCTCTTGAGAGCTTCCCGGGGCAGAGCTGGGACAAATCAAGGAGATCTGTCTCTGCAGCAAGAGAAGCTTCTCTTGGTTCCTGCTGGGGCTCAAGGGCTGACCACTGATTGTGAAAGTCTGAATTACAGAACCACCCCTCCAGTGAATTTAGGCTGAACACTACTTATCACCCCCCACCCCAGATACAGCCCTCCCCGTCAAAGGCCGGGCATGGATGTGTGTCCAGGTTGTTCAGTAACACATGTGGTCCAGCGGCAGGCCTGTTTCCCATGCCTGTTTCACCTGTGCCTCATTGACTCCTCTCAAACCTCTGTGAGTTCAACAAATAAACTGCAAGGTGGGGAAAAGGGGCGGGCGGAGGAGAAGGGAGGAAGGAGGAATCTGCCGATTACAAGGGGTTTAGGAAAAGAACGACAAATTGCAGTATATGGAACATATTTGAATCCTCACCAAAGGTCTAGACAGTGGCTAGTTGATGATATTAAGAGATCGTTAAGTTCTTTTCAGATGTGATAATGACATTATCAAGAGCCAGTTTCTGAGGGGCGCCTGGGTAGCTCAGTCAGCTGAGTGTCCGACTCTTGGTTCCAGCTCAGGTCGTGATCTCAGAGTTTTGAGGTTGAGCCCTGCATTGGGCTCCACACTCAGTGCGGAGTCTGCTTGAGATTCTTTCCCCCTCCCTCTCCCCACCCCCTACTCGCTCTTTCTCAAACAAATAAACAAATAAAATCTTTTTTAGAAGGCTAGTGGAACTATGAGTTCCTTTAAAAAATAAATAAATAAATAAAATAAATAAAAAATAACCAACCTCGAAGATGGCTCCTGGCACTCATGCTATTATTCAGTCCCCTCCTTAACTGAATCAGGGCTGGCCTGTGTGATCAAGAAAATCAATAAAAACTGGGGTGTCTGGGTGGCTCAGTCAGTCGGGCACCTGGTTCTTAATTTTGGCTTGGATCATGGTCTCAGGGTGCTGGGATTGAGCCCTGTGTCGGGCTCCATGTTCCGTGCAAAGTCCACATGTTCCTCTCCCTCCCCTCTCTTGCTTTCTTTCTCTCAAATAAATAAGTAAACAGATAAAACCTTTAAAAAAAAAAATCAGGGGTGCCTGAGTGGCTCAGTGGGTTAAGCCTCTGCCTTTGGCTCAGATCATGGTCTCAGGGTCCTGGGATCGAGCCCTGCATTGGGCTCCCTGCTCAGCGGGGAGCCTGCTTCCTCCTTTCCCTCTGCCTGCCTCTCTGCCTACTTGTGAGCTCTCTGTCAAATAAATAAATAAAATCTTTTTAAAAAATTTTTTAAAAATCAATAAAAAACATAGCAACTGATCATTCATACAGACACTGTGGTTGTATTTTTAAAAATCACTTATCTCTAATTCAAGCAGAGAAAGTCAATTATCATATGGTTTCACTTATTTGTGGAGCATAACAAATAGCATGGAGGACAAGGGGAGTTAGAGAGGAGAAGGGAGTTGAGGGAAATTGGAAGGGGAGGTGAACCATGAGAGACTATGGACTCTGAAAAACAATCTGAGGGTTTTGAAGGGGCGGGGGTGGGAGGTTGGGGGAACTAGGTGGTGGGTATTGGGGAAGGCACGGATTGCATGCAGCACTGGGTGTGGTGCAAAAACAATGAATACTGTTACGCTGAAAATAAATTTAAAAAATTAAAAAAAAAATCACTTATCTCTGAGAAAGCCACATCCAAATGGACGCTGGGAAAGGCTTGGAGATAGCACCAAGAAACCGAAGAAAGTAGCAACCCAAGGAGAAATGGATTGGGCACCGATATCAGTAAAGTGCCCAACTCATGAAAAGGTAACATTGTCAAGTAAAAGAGAGGCCCAGAGTTACGGAGAAGGAGTCATGTGCCTGCTAGCATTCTGAGTATTCCTTGGTGCTCTTTGTTCTATTGCTGCTTCATCAGGGTAGAATTAAGTTTCACTCCTTAGATGTATAACTTAAGATGATGAGTGGATAATAAGAATAAGCCAAGTGATGGGGCACCTGGGTGGTTCAGTGGGTTAAAGCCTCTGCCTTCGGCTCCGGTCATGATCCCAGGGTCCTGGGATGGAGCCCCACATCGGGCTCTCTGCTCCGCAGGGAGCCTGCTTCCCCCTCTCTCTCTGCCTGCCTCTCTGCCTACTTGTGATCTCTGTCTGTCAAGTAAATAAATAAAATCTTTAAAAAAAAAAAAAAGAATAAGCCAAGTGATCATTTAAAAAATACCTTTCATAAATAAAAGCTGAAATGTTTGCAGATGAAATAATTTGATGTCCAAAATGTCAAGATAATCAGGGTGCGGCAGGTGGGGAGGGACACAAATGGAACAACGTGGGCTGTAAGTTGATCGCTACTGAAGCAGGATAATAGATATCCGAGGGGTCATTATTCTGGCCTCTTCACTTTTGTGTGCCTGAACTTTTCCATCATAAATAGGAAAAAAAACAAACCAAACAACACTCGGGTATGACAAGGTTCAGTCCTAGGATCTTGCCTGGGTTCATACAGCTAGTACAACAGGCTGACCTGATGCTAAGTCTTCCACAATAGTAACGACCTGGCAAAAGTACAGAGACGTCAGACTTCACGAGGGGACGGGGCATACACCGTGTCATCTGAGCAGTCAGGGCAATGCGCAGCTGTCTTCCCATTCGCACAATACCCAGCGTGGCCTCTAAGCGCAGAGTGTCTCTAGAAAATGTACATCTGGTTGTAAAAAACTAAATGTACCCATGGACAATGGCCAGACCATCTATAAAAATAGAGCTCTGCACAGAATTTCTGGCCCAGGAAACCAGCATCTTATCTACAGTAACTGGCCGGGGCAGCCAGCCTGCCAGAAGTCAGATTTGTAGGAAATCAGACCATAATCTCCAGCAAAAGTCCAGAACACCAAACGGTAATCCCTGTGACAATCAACCCCAAGTAGCTAGTAATAATGGACAGCTTGCCAAATTTTTGTCCTGCTTCCACCTTGGGACCAACCAGAGAAAGCCGGATATGCTCTCCTAACCCATCCCACAGGCTGACCCCCTTCCACGAGCCCTCCCGAAGCTTCCCCAGCCACCAGCCTCCAGCCAGAGCCCAGCGGAGCCTCCCTGTGACCCCCAGAAAGCTGCCCCAATCCGCTAGGAGTCCCTGCCAAAATGCGAGTGGCCGTCACCCGCTCTCTTTCCATCGCAAGCTTGGCAGTAGCCTTCGCTCTTTCTCACTTGGTCTTCATTTACCCACAGTAGACTTGATTAAAAAAAAAATTAACTCTATAAACTCAACATCTGCTTTTGTTCCAGTGAATTCATACAGAGGAAGAGGAAGCAAACTTCAGTTTTGTCTGGGTATAATCTTCTCCCCTTCTTCCTGGAGCACAAAAATCCTGCAGCCACCCTCAGCTGCTCTGCGGAAGGGAGCTAGCCAGGAAATGGGCTCCAGGAGGCTGCAGGGATGCTAATCTCTGAGCCTGAAACTCTGGAGTGGAGCTCGGCCACTTCTACCAGAGCTCCTCATGGGGAGTCTTGGTTCATCTTTCCTGAGTCCACTCCAAAAGGCTTTCTCGCGTTAAGGCTTTCTTCTGGGCTGGTGGAACCTCTTAGCTCAGGATGTTCTCATTTGACCAAAACAAAATTAAAAAAAAAAAAAAAAATACAACTCCCTGCAAACCCCCAGTGGGTTTGCTAAGCAGTGGCCTTGCTAAGCAGTGGCCTTCAGAAAGAAAGAGAGAGAGAAGGGGGAGGATGAGGACAAAAGGAGAAGAGAGGGTAAAACAGGTTTTTTTCTGAGACTCAGAGACTACGGCTCATCTTATGACACCGAATGACACAGGACAGACCGCTGTTTCGTTTTGAGGGAAGTGGTCCCTTTAATGGCGGTTTCCTTAAAGAGCAGGTGCTAAGTGTTGCTATAGCAACCAGCAGAGATTGCTTGTAAACTATGAAGTGCTTCTGTTTGGGACGAAAAAACGAAACAACACTTCCCTCAAGGATCCAACTGGGCAAAGATGCCTTCTGGGCTGAAGCACACACCAGGGTCACCAGAAGCCTCACAGTAAACCTAGGGCATCATCCAAAAGGGGAATTTTAACTAAGCACAAAAATGAATTCGGGGTTTGTGGGGGGAGCCTTAAATCAAACAACAAGATGCCATTAAGGAAAAGAAATTGTGGTTTGGGGTCCACGCTTGGATTTTTAGAGAGCAAAGATCCCCAAATGTTGAAGGGGAGACTGACGAGATGAAAGTGGCCTCCCACACTTCCAGGGACAGTGGAGACCAGTCCTGGTCGTTCACCTTTAAGATACGATTGTGAGCAGTGCAGGGAAGTGGGCAGGTCAGCAAGCAACTCAGCTTGGCATTAGTAGGAAAGTAGATTTAAGTCTTCAAACTTCCCAGATAGTGTTCATTCTTCCTGGGGTGACGGGGCGGGAGGCGGGGTAGAAGTGAGGAACTTCACTGAAATGAAATGTAATGTTAACTAGATAAATATGATTATCGGACTCTGGCCTAAGATTGCCGTCAGGATAAACTTTCAGAAGTGGCTAAGAATTACTTAAAAAAAAAAAAAATCTGAAGTACATTTCTCTTTGAAGTGGTTTAATTGAAATCCCCATCTTGTTGCTCTCATTAGGCTCAAACATTCATTGTTTGGGGAGAGTCCGAAGTTACAAATTTGGATGTAAATTATGTAAACTATGAAGTGCTTCTGATGTCCCCTTGAATCTTCGGAGCCACATTCAGTGCTGAAGGTGTGTGACTGAGACTCTGTCCCTGCCTGGTGTCTGGATTAATGAGACATCCGTGACAGTACCTAGGGCAACCTTCCCCCCAAGATCCAGGAGTCTTTGAGCACACAAATCATTGTTGGATCCATGCATCTGGTAATTGTCCATTAGGTGAACTCGAGAGTTTGGCCTTTGGACAAGTGACAAGTCCTTCTTCGTGCCTGAGAATAGGTGGTGAGGAGTTTGGGTTCTCCCGAAAGGTAGGGCTGAGTTTAAATCTCGGCTTTACACTTTACTTGTTAACTGTGTGACTATAGACAAGTTACTTAACCTCTCTGTGCCTCCATTTTCCTTCTGCAAAATGGACAGGACAATAATCGTGGCACCGACCTCAGAGATGGTCAGGATCAGAAGAGCTCATGTCTGGAAAGTGCTTAACACATGGACAGCACTCCACAAATAGTAGCTATCCCGTGTCTCTTTTCTGCCTCTTTTGATCCTTCTCTTAACAATAGACAAACAACTCATGAAGTTGGCAAATGCTCCTATCAGCCCAGGAAGAAGGAGCAGGATGTTCTAGGGCAAGGGGTGAGAGGCCCAGAGTTCAAACAGGTGAACATGGCGTGGTTCCCAGTGGCAAGCAGCTTGAGTGGCAAGAGCAGCCAGCTGGGTCTGTGAACCCCAAATGACCTTGACCTTCAGCAAAGAGTTACACGACAGTTAGCGGTCATCTTTTATTCACTCAAACACAATTGCAGGTGAACTCAGCTGTTTCAGTGCCCCTTTGTGACACTCTGTCCCGCCATCTCCCCGGCCTCTGCTGTGTGGTTTCTCTGCCTGGTGACACAAAGAGTGGAACTGAGTCACCACCACACCCATGTCCAGTGGGACCAGGAACTTTCATCACTAAGTCAACAAGGCATCCTTCGGATTCCATGACTTCTCCTGTTTGGGGAGGAGGAACCACAAGTAGTAGTGACCATAGAACATTCTCCTCAAGTCAGGCTTCGAGAACATTGAATTAGAGAAGAAAGACAGGAAAACAATTGGATTACAGGAAGGGATGTTAGGGGAGGTACAGTTGGAGGCAGTCAGTCAAATGCTTCCCAGCTCAGTAGAAGGAATTAAGGACATGAAAGGCCGTGGCTCAGGTGGATAGGTCCTCAAGTATTTACTGACACTGAATCCGAAGGTCAATGGAGAGAAGAGTCATCTTTCCCGGATAACTACTCAGAAGTCTGATCAGTGCTTGGGTCCAAGGCTGAGGACTGGCAGATCACACAGGTTTTGAGGATCAAAAGATAGGTCTCCTTGAACTTCTTTATTTTATAAGCATAGACAATAGGGTTCATCATGGAGTTAGCATGGGAGAGCAGAATGCCCAAGTACAGAAAGATTTGCGGCACCTCACCATGAAAGTAGGTGATACAGTTGATAATAGACAAAGGCAGCCAGGACAAAGCAAATAGGAAGAGAACCAGAAACAAAGACTTGGCTGTCTTGAACTCCCGTCCGTAAAATGCGCCTGTCTCTTTGGAGCTCGAAAAGTTCTGATTGAGTTTATTCCGGATGACATAGAATATGTCAAGGTAGATGGCACACATGACAATCAGAGGGATTAAAATCCAAGTGAAGAAGCTGAAGTAGACCATGTAGTCCATCCTCATGACAGAACTGAACTGGCAGGAAAGGAAGGTGACATTTTGGTCATACTCTGAGGTCAGTTTCATGTTCCAGCCAAACATGGGCGTCAGTCCCACCAGGAAAGACACCAGCCAGCAAAGGCCCAGGGCCAACCATATTCTTCTTTGAGTGGTGACCCTCCTGTATCTGTTTGAATGGAAGAGAATGGGTGAGTTCCCAGTAGGAATTGCTTATGGAGGGAGCGGGGCGATGAGGGTAGAGAAAGCTGGTGTTCCAGCAAACTTCTCTGGGGGACTTTTTAAAAGAAATATGATGTCGAATGGCTTAGACATATGTTGCCACACTCACGGCACCCTTCCAGCCTGAGAATTCTTCAGTTCGTGGAAGGTAAGAGTTTTCTAAGTCTCTTGGGATCACCTACCCAAGATGCTCTCAGAGCACGTTTCCAGCCACGCGCTGTCTTGTTTTTGTTGGGCTGCTGGGCTGCAGGCCATGAGTTCAACTCTTGCCTTTCCTGCGCTGCCCTCCACCTGTGCCTGCCCCTGCTTCTCTATTTGCTCCAGCACCCCACTTATTGCTCGATATATGGGGGTCTGTGGAGGTGTGGAGTTGAGGCTGAAGTGTTTCCAGGACCTCAAATGACTCCTCCAAAGAGAGGCACCATTCCTCCTCCCGCCCACCTTCCCGGCAACATCCCTCACAGACTACAAGAAGGAAACTGATTTTGTTACGTACTGACAGTGTACTCAGACTTTATCTCGGTCACATTTCACAACAAACCGACGCTAGTTTTACAACAATCCCCATGTCCTTGCTGGTGACTGGCTGAGGATAACAGTAGTGACAGCTACCATGGAGTGAGCACAGACTGGGCGCAGCCATTTTTCTAAAAGCCTTATACGTGTGAACTGTGGGATTTTATGAGGAAGGGGCAATTATTGTCCCCACTTTATAGGTGAAAAAAAGAAACAGGCAAGTGACCCGGACCAGCTTAAAGCGGCAGAGGTAAAATGGAAATGAGGTTAAGTCCGAGTTTAGAGTATCTTAACTGCTGTGGAAAGACAAGGAACCAAATCCACAAAAGTCACTTGCCCCAGCTCAGACCTCAAGAACTGGGCTTTGAGCCCGGGCTTTTTAGTATCAAAAGCTTGTCTGTAGCTTCCTCTCCACATCTCTTCCCCAAGAGGAGAGAGGCGGCTTACAAGCCAACTGCCGTTCAGGACACCTGGGGACTGAGATGTCTCCATTTGGCGGTCTGTTCTGTTCACATCATCCCAGGAACGGTTGCTACTACTTTCGGCAATGGAGGACTTTTCTTGATCCCCTCCTCAACTTGGAAGAGGAAGCAAAGTTAAAGTAACTTTAAAATAACCTACATCTGCCAAGAGCAGAACCATCTTTAAATCTCCTGTTCTTCTCTGTTTGCTCCTTATTTTAGCTAGTAAGTTTCTTTCATTTCTAAAACTCAAGAACATTTTTTTTACTAATTAAAGATGCATCAAGCTAGAGACGCTAAGAAAAAAAAATAAATAAAGATGCATCATGCTTTCCTCATCTTTAGCTGTTCTCCAGTCCCAGCTCACACACCAAATGGTGCAAAGAAGCTTAGTGCCCTCTTTCAAGCTCAGAGGCCAGACTGGATTTGCTTTCACTGAAGCAGCCCCATGTCCCAGCCCCTCACTGCCCCACGCTGCCTCCTCCTACCTGACTGTGAGCTTGACCCGCAGGTATCGGTCCACAGCAATGGCTAGCAGGGACATGATGGAAGCGTGCGTGAAGATCAGCAGCAGACAGGTCATGAAAAGGCAGTTATAAAAGTGGATGGTGATGCCCAGGCTGATGACAATGGCCAAAGGCATGACCAGCACCCCAACGGCGATGTCAGCCAGGGCCAGGGAGACAATGAAATAGAAGGTGGTGGTCTGCAGGCTGGGGTTCAGCTTGACCACCCAGATGACCAGCACGTTGCCCACGATGGCACAGAGCCCGATGAGAATCTCCATGGTTATGTAGGTGACGTTGGCCATCAACAGGGCAGTGCTGTTGACAGCCATCTTGCCCTCCCTGAGGCGACTCCCAAGCAACAGGCGTGTGGACAGGATCCGTGTGGCCCGGTGAGCCTAGCTCTCTCCGGGCATCTTGCTAGAGGTCCAGGGACAGCTGCGACAGTCTGAACATCACGACTCACTCATTCCTTCTCTTCTCTGGTGGAACACTCCCTGGGAGACCCCTGCTTTTCTTAGAGAGAGCCCATCCAGGGGCAATCACTTTCTGCCCCTTTGTGGGCCACACATCCCTGGGCTATCGGAAGCGTGGAGGACAGTTCGATGTAGGTTGAATCTGAAAGTGCCACTTCTCTTAGTTCCCCAGACAGACACGCTCGAGGCCTCTGCCTCCTGCGCCCAGAGGGCCACTCGATCTCCATCAAGATAAGCAACACTCTTCAGGGCTGTTTCAGGAAGTGAAATGGGCCAAGAGGAAGCACAGACCAGGAACGCTCAGCAAGAAGATGGAAAGAGCAGACCAGGGGGTGTGAGCGGCGTGGAGAATGCTCAGAATTCATTCACTTGGGGACCAGATGGGAGTGTAGCTCTGCAGGGCAGGGCAGTAGAAGCACAGGCTCGAAAATTCTGGCTTTCTGCTAGTATAGCAGAAAGATCGCGTGACAAGGAGGCAAACAGAAGCCACAGCAAGAAATAAAATTTGGTGGCAGTCTTAGCCAGAATTTACGGTTTCTTTGCGCATGCTACAGATTGAATGATTGTGTCCCCCCGCCCCTCCCCGCCTCACACACACACTCCAAATTTACAGGTTGAGATCTGAGCCTCAAAGTGACAGTATTAGGAGATGGGGTCTTTGGAAGATGCCTGGGTCATGAGGATGGAACCCTCATGCATAAGATTAGTGTCTCATAAGAGACACCCCACAGAGCTCCTTCACCCCTTCAACCATTCATGAACCAAGGAGCTGGCTCTCGCCAGACACCAGATCTACCAGTACCTTGATCGTGGGCTTTCCAGCCTCCAGAGCTGAAAATTGCTATGGCTTGTAAGCCACCCAGTCTTTGGTATTCTGTTACAGTAGCCTGGACAGAATAAAACAGTGCAAAGCAGCAAGCCCTGGGAATTGGGCGGCATGGATTGACTCTTGGTCAGACACAGCTGGGACCCAGCTTTTGCACCAAAGATCCATTGACAAAGGAACAAGCTAAGATCCCCTGCTTAGAAGGGCAGAAAATTCAGCACCTTCCAGAAGCATATCTGCTGACTCTACGTTTCCCTTGGGGGGGGAGGGCCCACACCCACCAACATCTCACATGCCCTCACCCCAGCAACCATCCGGTGACAAACCTCTTTGAGGAACTACAGGACAAAAGGATGACCGGCCAGGCAGAAAGGAGGGAAAGGGCCACAGGCGCACATCCTCACATGGCATAACACCCATCTCCCCCACCCCGATCCCCCCCCACCCCACCACCTGCTGGAAAAGAGGAAGAAAACTGCTTTCCTGGAAGTCGCTCACCTGGGCTGCAACTTCTGGAAACCAGACACTTACAAGCAATTGGGACTTAAGGTCCACGAAGTTCATGGGTGTCTCAGTCCTGCCCAAAAGGGTGATTTAGAGGAAGGGATGGGTGGACCTGAGCCAGCACTGTGGATTGAAGGGTTTATAATATTTGCCTTAAATACCAATCTACGTAGCACCCAAATGAAAATTCAACGCTATCGGCAGTGCCGTTCACATCCTCTCCAGGGCCTTGGGGAGATGCCTCGGGCTGCGGCTTCCACGTCATCCTCTGCTTCCCCACCTCATCCCCGTTGGGGATGAATCCTTGTTCATCCCTGAATCCCTGAAGCCTGAATCCCTGGTTCATGCCTTCTCGACTTGCCGCTTCTCTCTGGGCAAACCTCCCCCCACCCCCAGCCCCAGACGTGAAGGCGCAGCAAACGCATCTCTGTCACTCTGGCATTTTCCAGTGTTCACTATGCCCGCATCCCTGCGCCCTGGGAGCTTGGGAAGTTTTGCCAGCCCTCAGCATGACTTCTCATCAAAGTTTCTACTCCAACTGCTTTCTTTATCTCTGCTTCAGAGAAGGAAGTCACAGAGAGCCATTTCTAGGAGGCTGCGTGCTACTGAAAGAAGTCGCCCGAAAGCAATCACTGAATCTTGATAACGTGCTTAAAAAAAAAAAATGCACCCTCCCCTTCAGCATCTTGCCACCGGGTAGTACCAAACAGCCCTATGTGAGAGAGAGACTGTCTGCTGTAGGGACGAGTCGAGTCGTGTTGCCCGGTTGGGGTGAAAGGACAGGGAAGGAGTGAATTCCTGGGGGGGCTTGGCCGCTCCAGGTCAGCCTCATAGCTTTGCTCCACGTTTGAGAGCTGGTCAGAGGACAGACAGTTCCTGCACTTAGAGAGAGAGATGGGGGCCTCTGTGGGGTTATGGGCCAGAAACTGGGTTCAGGGTAAGACGGCAGAGGCCAGGAAAGAGACAGCCACGGATCCAGCCACAGGAAGGGGACCAAGGCATTGGGGAAGGATTGGACAGCTGGAGCTGGAAACCTGACTGGTGTGCTTGCAGATTCTTACCCCTTTCGTCCTCCTTTAGGATGTAGGTGAGTTCTTTCGGAAACAGCCCATCTCAGCTGGGTTAGAGACACCAAGGAGAGAGCTTTGTTACCCAGCACCAGTGACAAGAACAGTGTGATGGGCACAGGATAGCCTGTGAGAGAATAATCCAGGGGGAAAAGGAGAGGCAGGGGACATGCTTAGGGCATCTGACCTAGCCACCTCTTCCCACCTGGGAATTCTCTGGAAATTTCCTCTCCATGAGCACGGCAGGCCTGAGCCCATCCCTGCTCAGGGAGGTGACTGGAGGGATGAGGAGACAGGTTTCCACAGTTACTTAGCATTTTGGCCTAAGATTGGGCCCTGAGCCAACATCTCCTTCCAGATGGAGCACCAGAAGGCAGCCTGGAAAAGAAGACAGAGAGGCCAGGGCAGATGGCCATCTTGCTTACCCCCATCCCCACCCCCCAAACACACACAGACATGCCACAGCTACTCTTGGGTAACTTCCCTCATCTTTCAGGGAGAGACCACCTCAGCCCCCAGAGCCACACCCAGATGCAAGTCCCCTCAGCCTCCGTATAGCCCTCAGATCAAGTCCAACCTCCCTGGAATGGCAGAGTCTCATATCCCACCCTTCGAGATGGGGGGCCTCCCAGCTTCTGCAGCCTCCTGGTGCCTGGAGCCCCCTCCCCCCGAAACCGCAAGCACCACTGAGCTTTCACTTCCTTTCCCCTGTGCACCCAGCTCAGAAAGCCCTTCTCCTCGCGTCCATCTAGAACACAAGCACTTTTCCTTCAAGATTGTTCTCAGATGGGACCCCGAAGAGAACTTCCCAGACATCCCCTCCCCATGTTGTGTTTATAAGCCCCCCTCCCCTGTGATCTTGCAAGCTCCTGAAGCTTAGTGAACTCTACTTTTCATTTCTAGCCCCACCACGGTGCCTGGCAGATGGCAGGTGCTCAAGTATATTTTTGCTGAATGAATGAGTATGAACACACCTCAGTGAACCAGAGGGCATCAGCTTGGCACTGGTTACAGAAGACCAGTAAATCAGCTGGGACCTGTTGAGTACATTCCTTTATACCATCTAGAGTGCTGAACATTTTGCTTTTATGGTTTTATCCAACACTAGGATGAAATAGACACTATAATCACAGCAGAGGCAACTAAGGCTCAAAAAGGTGACGTAATTGGCCCCGGGTGACGCAGCCAGGAAGTGGCAGAGCCAGCGTTCAAACTCAGGCTCCGGGCTTCAGCAAATGAATGGGCAAGTAGTGAACAACCATGGGAAGCTTTCACAAGCGCAAGGCAGCCCCGGACTTGATGATGCCATATTATCCATCAGACGTCCTAAACTCACGCCTGGAAAAGGAAAAGGGGACCAAGACTGTGGGAAGAGAGCACAGGGGCCTTGTAGGTCTGGCACCTGCTCTGAGTTCCGAAAAGGGGGAGGATACAACGGGCCACTTGGTGGGACTCCAAGGGAAGCTCTGGGACAGAAAGAAAATCTTTCACTGGGCCAGAGTGACAAAAATATATTTTTTTAATAATAAAATAAATTACAAGGGAGACGTGGCTCAGGGAATTTCCCCGCCTGAAAGAAGGGGGCGTCTGCGTGTGTGTCAGTTTCACTAAAAGGACCTGGAATCTGTGGAAGAGGTGAGGACCAGGGAAGATCCATCAAGCTAAACCACAGGAAAAGCATCTGGAGTCCTGGGGGAAAGGCCTCGCCCATCCCAAACCGTGGCCTGACACACCTGGACACAGCTCAGCCACAGGGAGACAAGCTTGCCCTTGGGGTTCTGCTTAATGTCGTGACAGGCTGGCCAGAGAGCCGTTGAGCTGCTCCTTTGCAGCTTCTCAGACAAGCCTGGAGAGCCCAGGAAGCAACCAGCACCAACAGCAAGACGCTATGTGAGCAGGAGCCCCGGGGAGAGGGGGGAGACCTGTAGAGACTGAGAACTGGCCCAGGCTGCTGCTGAGACAGGATGTCAGGCAGGCGGGAGGCAGTGACTTCTGCTTGGGGCTGGCTCACACTGCCTCCACGGCTGTCTGTCGGCAGAGTTGCCCAAAACCAGTTTGTTCACTTCCTCTTGGCCCCATCACCACTTCCCCAAAGGCTTATATTTTTACAGAGCTTCATGCTTGCTAGGCAGCAGGGAGGCTTAGAAAGAGCGGGATGGCCAAGAAAGCGGCCTCTCCTGGTTCCCCTCCTTATCCTGCTCTCAGCCCAGCAGCAGGAGGCTGGGGTCTCCAGAAGCCGTCCTCCAGGGGCTGATCTGGAGCCGCTGTCCCTAGGGGGCTTCATACTAGGGAAGGGATCCACATGGGTTTGACCAAGAAGGAACCAGGGATTCCTGAGGCCTTATAGGCTGATTTCAGGAGGCTCACTCAGAGCCAGCGCAAGGGGGAGGGAGAGTTCAAGGTTCCTGCACTGGGAGCAACAGGAAATCCTGCTCAGCAAAGGGGAACTCCCTGATTAA